AATGGCAGTTTTGAACCAAATTAATATCAATAATTCATTTTTGCGAATCACTGAAAACGAGAACGTTACGAAGTAACAAATTTTCCTAATCGTTATGTCGTAAATCATTTTTCCTATCAAACTTTTGAATCAAATAATAATGTCTAGACCATTATAAGTTAAAGAGTTTCTTATAACAAGCGAAATGTCATAAATATCTAAATAAATTGTCTACCATTTCTGTTAGATTCTTTACTGTTTACATATTGCTCAATAATCTATTCATTATAATAGTCCAATTATGATCTTTTGTCAAAGTTTTTATCAAATTATTCGCAGTCTCTTTGCTCTTGAAACTTTCATGCTCTTTGTTTACATCTGTTTATAACCAAATCATTATAAACTAAACCATTTCAATATCGAAAATAGAAACTATTAAAGGTCACTTTATTTATGACTATAATGATGATAATGTTGCAACGATACATTTTATCAGAGAATCATTAATTCTGTCAATTTCAGACAATCTTGCAACCATCAAGAGGGAAGAATAAGAAAATGAATTCATCTCTTTTCTGCAGAGTATTGAACAAATTTCGAGATTAGCAATTGCAACATAAATGGTAACTTTAAGAATGTTATACTTTTTAAACTTGAAACGGAAAATGAAGAAATGAATGAATTTTCATGAATAATAATCGAGGTTTACTTTTCTTCAGGAAGTTCATCGAGTATGTAATCGGTAAACAGTAAATAGTAAATAATATTAATAATAGTTTAGAGCTTACATATACCCAGTTGATTGGAACAAAGAAAACAATTTGAAACATTTTGTTAGCCAATAAATCAGATCATTGAAAGGATGAAACTTTATTAGGGAAATCTTCAAATTGATTGTTGAAATTTGCTGAAAGTTTCATCGGTGAATAATGTTGATAATGAACTTTTATTTTCCATATTTTACTCTCGGGAATATTTCATCATGTAAAGTTGAACATGAATTAATAATCAAATTGAGGGAAAAGTCAGGAAACACATTTACATGGACTAACAGGCACAACACGCTATAACCTTAAACGTTGTCACACTTCTTCTCATCTACATTATTGATTATCTTATTTGATATTAATTTTTCCCTCTTCTCAATAATGATATTAATAAGTGAAAAAAGGTTCACTTTGCAAGTTTATACCTTTAATTGATTGGTTTCAATTTACAAATTGCTAACAAACCATTGTTCCAGGTAAACGTGTTCGTGTATAAAACTTAATGTGATGTGTTAAAATGGATTATCAAGGTAAACTGTTATAATATGGTGAAATGAGCTACACAGGATTAAAGTCTTCATTGAATTAGTAAATTTTGTAATGCAAAGAGTAAATGGATAAACTTAAGTAAAACACGATTTAATACAATCCATAAATTATCGCGCTTGTTTAGGGCAAACACTTCGAAATGGCTTTACAGAGTTTTTGCTCTTCGCGAATTTTACATCGTCTTTCGGACTGTTCCTTCAAGTATCCAATAAGTCTTACGGTTTGCTATTAGGATACCAGCTCTCGAAGTTGAAACTATTGCTCGCACTATATATGGAACTGAAAAAATCGAAAGTAAATTTTGATTTCTTTCAGTGTTAAACTTTCACATTTGTTCATCTTAATTTACATGTTGTTATATCTCATTAAAAGCTGACTTTAACAACCTAACCTCTGGAGTATTTATTATAATACTACATGTTGTACGTATAAATAACTAAATGTGACAGTTTGCAGCTTTGGACGGAAAAACTTGTTAGATTAAAAATTGCTATTTAAAAAGGTAAATTTTTGTAAATAATATTATTCTTTATAATTAAAATGCTCTTTATAAGTTTTAATTACACTTTGACTTTTCTTTTCACAATGTTAATAAAAACAACTTGGACGAAAAATGTTACTATCTATGATTGCACCTACGATTTGGTCATCGCTATTGCAACTTGATGATCAGACATGCTTGTATTGGCACCATTGACTCTCAAGTAAGTCAGCTTTGTAATAGTCTTCTGCTTTCCCTCCAGAGAGTAAACTTAATGTACTCCCAATTTCTGGTTGTACTTGTGCCTGACGCGAGAGGAAAATTATTGAGTAGCGTTTGCTTATTAAGAATCAAAAATTAATTTCAAACTTTGAATCGAAGTCAATCATGGATCTTTGAATAGATGAAAAGCAATATTCATAATTTATGAGAGTGAATCAATCTTTGCTCGTCTCTAAATTTAGAGTAATTTTACTGTGTTTTTCACTTCCTTTCATTACCTTTTAACAGATAGCAAAGTATTATCCAGAAAAGGAGTTTTATTGTTGGAACCATCTTTGACTTGTTTGAAGTGGCAAAACTAAGAATGTTAGAATGAACCATTTTACTGTTTTACTAATAATATTTTAATGTGTCTAGGAAATTAAAGTGTCTAAACCCTGAGAATCTTTGAGTTGCCTTTCCAGTCATGATTGATTGGTTCAAGTTCATCAGGTCTATTTTAAAACGGATTAGCAGGAAATCTGTTCAGCAACTCAAGGTGTATGCATGTAAAATTTGATGGAAACTTGTCGAGGCAGGGATTTTTATTCATTTTTTTCGCTCTTCAAACATGTTGAAATACAGTTCTGATAAGAATCAATTATGTAACAAAATCGTATTAAGTCTCAAATTAGCTCAATAAGCTTTTAACATTGTAAAGTTTTTTCACTCTTTCCCGTGATTAAACTTTTATTTTGCTTCTCTACTTAGAGTATTCAATAAAAGGAAATTGGTCAGAATTTTGTTTCTTGTCAGTTTTCGCCAAAGTAAAAGTGAAGTAGAAGTTGGAAAGTCATGCAAAAAAACTATCGAAATCTTTACCTTTTCTTGTTCTTCTTTTCTCTTTTGACTCAACTCTCATTGGAACTTGTCATCAACTTTAGGTCAAAGGATCAAGGCAAAGTGAAAATAGTGATCCAATGCCTAAAGGAATAGCATGAATAAATTAGTGCTACTCGAATAAACGAGTTAACAGTTCAATACAAGACTTTTTAAACTCAAAGTTGAATATTTCTAATCAACAAGTTTATCATGCACTCGAATTGAACCTATTCAAACGACAAAAGTGTGAAGACAACAGAAATGCAAATGAAATGAAAAGTTATCACTTTAAATTCATTGTTGAATGATTCTCTCTTCATCTATGGCAATTGTTATCAGAAGAAAAAACTCTTGACACTAGGATGAACATTTTGTATCTGCAATGCTATCTGACTTATCAGTTCATGAACAGGTAACAAACTAGTCTCAAGAAACTGACAAAACATGTCAACCTTTTTTGCAGAGTAAATGTAAAGTGTTCAAGTTTTAAGCTTTCGTCAAGTAATGTTGAGTGATTTATTGAGTATCATTTGAATGTGAAAAACTGAATTCCTAACAAATATGTATTTCTCGTGTTCATCAAAAGTCTCATTGAGCCTTATTGAATATCCTTCAATACTGAATGGAAGCAATAGAAGAGAGCAAAAAAGGTTCAATTTTTTCTTCTTCTCTTCACTCTTCTCTGAAGTCGTTCAACATCATCATAACAAGCAATTCATGAGAAAGTCAAATGAAGAGCAAAACTGAATTCAAAAAGAAGCAGAAGTTTTTAATGCAAATAAAAAGGTAAAGCAAAAAGGTTAAGTTAATGAGGTTATACCATGAGTTTATTGCATTTCATTTGAGAACGCAAAAAGGTTGATAAAGTTTCTTTTCATGTTGCAAAACATGGAAACTGTAAAAGGAAAGAATTGAAACTTTTCTCTTTTCATCATTTCATTATTGAATATGATTCTAAATTGTGCTCCAATATCAAGTTTAACAACCCAGATGATATGCTTTTTGTAGTCGATAAGGGTAAACATGGAAAATTGGTTCGTATTCATGTAATGATTTCTCATGATTAATGATATTTGAACAGTTGATAATGTTCAATGCAACACATGGAAAGAGATGAGAGAAAAAAATGTTTTTGCGAAATAAAGTTTTTCCATTCTTACCTCCGATAACCTTACAGGTAATGTTGATGGAATCGTCTTCATTATATGGTCCAGCAATGTCTTTTATCTCATTACCATTTGAGTCATGAATTTCAATTGAAGTGACCGGAACTGGGTGAAAAGGAGAAAAAACAATGTTAATCATTTAATGATGTTATTAATGAGAAAAGGTGGATTCAAGGTTTAACTTATCAAATGTTTGAGGTTAATTTGAAAACATGAGGTTCGTGGGAGGGAATGAGGAGAAGGAAGAGCAAAGAAAAGTTGAGAATTGAATAATGTTATGATGGTGAGGAAAGGGTTTTTGTTATTAAAAGACAAAATCAATATTCTTTGGTATAGAATTGGGTTTATTTGGTCACTAATCGATGTTAATACAAAGTTATAAATGATTTTCATTGAATTCAACTGTTCAACTGAATAATCTTGAACCGGAAACTAAATATTCTGTACAACATTTCTAGTCCTGAACAGTCTTTGCAAATAAATCGCACAAAGACAAAACGTAACTGAAACGAAATGATGAAAGGAAAATCATCAATTAATGCAAACAAAATTGAAGTTTAGTAACTGAAACAGTCAGCAAATTTTCTGAGTTCAGAGATTTTTTCCAGAATTTTGAACAAGGGTGCCTTGGAAAAGGAGGTACAAAACTTCATGGTGATACCAATATCATCACCACATTAAACCCTCATCATTATCATCATTATTATCATTATTTTTATGACCACAATCTTCATAACTCCAACTTAATAGCAACCAATATTAACATTTCAAGTAACATCACAAGTGACGTTCGATTAGGCCGTTAGCGAGTTACTTTTCAACCCAAGAGAGTCGCTCTTGTCCGATCCAAAAGTGGTTACATTTAAGGTCTTTTATGGAATAATAAAGGCTTCTTTTGTTCATCTTTTTTCCTCTTTGCAAGTTTTCTAACTTCAGAGATTTTTGTCAGCAATTTTGAATTAGGCTACCTTTGAAATTCTGATATGGGATAATTGTTCTTGGATGGACGTAAATACAAAATATTTCAATCGATTTATCTTTCGCTAATTGAATTTTAGATTTGTTGAATTTACGCTACGGTTATGTGCTTTGTTTGTTAATTCTCAAGTCATAAGGTTTGACGGCTCTATTTAAGATGATCATCAGTTTTGCGAGTTCTAATTTGGCTAAGCTTGTTACGAAAATTTTAAGTTATTGTGATATGCCTGATCTGTGGAAATTTAAAGGGGTATCTGCCACCAAAAGTCAACCTTCTCGATTTCGGCATTTAATAGCTTTTTTCTTAAAATTTGTATGCTTTTCTATCGAGATTTGTAAGTTCATTTTTTCATCTGTAAAATTTTGAAACAAAAACACAATGTTGACTCTTTCTGTAACCTTCACAAGAGAATGGTTCGCATCAGATCACATTTAAATAAGCAAATCTCGACACTCATAGTTTATCAGAACAGAAAATCAAATATGCAATATCACAGCAAAAGTCTAGTATTATCAGAACATTGAAATGATACATTTACATGTTATGCCATGCACAGAAAAGTCACGGTGGTTGCACATTACAAACTTAAAATTTATAAATTGTTTGACGATTGAAATTTGATGGTTTAGTGATTTTACAATTGAAATTTAATCTGTTCTGCAAAGAATTGAAAGAAAATGGACAGATTGATTGTAATGTGAAAAGGTTAAAAAGTGATTCATTTAACGAGTAAAATATCAATATCATTATAGCAGGTAATTATGTGTTTATGTGAACCAACAAATTATCAAGGTGGAGTTGATAAAAGTCAAGTACATTTAGCTTTACCATCTTTATGCATCAGAAATATCGAGTTCCATAGTAATCTTGACCAAGTGCATAAATGATAATCGAATGATTCATTTGTTATTTTACCATCCTTCAACTCACATTTCCAGTTTGAACTTCGACATGACCATCATTTTCTGATTTATCCCTTTCACACTCATCACTGGGGCTCATCACGATTAATAATTTACTTGAGTTGAAGTTATCATTTGCGAGACATTAGATGACCAAATTGAGAAGCAACTTGACTTTTACTCTTCAAGCCCTTAACCAACTCGAGTTGATTCATTGAGAATAAATTATTAACTTTGGCTAATATGATATGAAACTGATGAGAATCATATTAATGTAACAGCAAAAGAGTCATAAAAATGGCATTTTCAAGAGCTTCAATAACTTGATATTATCATGAAAAAAAAGGTTGAATCGTGTGCCATTTCATCTCATCAATCTTTATCGTAGTTAAACTACGAAAAAAAACGCTTATTCATTGACTTCTTTTGACTAACTGACAATGGTAAATGAATGATTATTGTCTTGCAATTTAATGCAATTATCGATTTGTTGGAGCAATAAATGGTTTTATTAATTCGCCGTGAACCATATTTTGATAAAGTAAAGAGTAAAAAGTTCATCAATAAAATGAATTGTCTAACTGCAATAATTTAAAGAATAATTTTTGCTGAGAAAAAATGGAAAAACCAAATTCTGAATACATAATTTTGAACTTTTGATTTGCATTTTAGTCTTCATTTAGCAACATTATTGATTGAGTTAACCAAAAACAAAAAAACTACTTTTATTGCCTTTATTGAATTGACTATCAAATTAAGAGTAATGTGATTAATTATGTGAAATGAGAGTAAATTAATGAATGCTAAATGAATTATTGTTAACAATTTTATTCACTTGAAACACTCCAGGTTAACGTAAAGTTTTTTTCGCAAAAATTTGTTGACCTGACAATTCTACTAATGTCATCATTGATTAAACATTTTCCATGAATTTACATGATCAACTGTTATTAGCTACTTGACTTGAGGATTTGGTGAAAATCAATGGATTGTGTGAATGAAATGCCATGCAAGTTGAAAGAGAATGGAAAAATGATTTCTCCTTTCAACGGAACAATTTTTCAATGAAATTTGACTCTGGATTCTGTTTACTCACCAATTACTTGGAGTAAAATAATCTTGTTCATCGTTCGAGCTTGACGAAAGTCGACTCGACATCGATATACTCCATTGTCTATCCTTTTGATTGGTTCAATGGTTAGGTAAGAAATTGGTTCAGTCAGTTGAAATTTAACTCGATCTTGTAGATAATCACTTATAAAGTGTGGAGCATCCATGAGTGAGGTTACACGAGAATCAATTGTGTATATTGGAGTTGCTGTATCTTCTCGATACCACATTATTAGTAAAATTTTATCTTCCCTCCAAGCGGGAGTAATATTACAAGGTAATCTTGCCACTGAACCTTCAGGGATTTTGTATTCAATATTACCTTTGATTGGAAAGATAATGAAAAGATGATTTTGTTTGTTGACTTTACAAGGAAACAATTTTTTACATTTCGTCAAAAGGTTGCACAAAAACTTACCAAATTGGTACAAACTTTGTGAGGAAACAAGGCCAATAAAGTTGACTAAAAGTATCCCAATAGTGGGCATCATTTTTTACACTCATTAACATGAAACACTGACCATGAAACTGAAATCATGATGCAGCATAACTTTTTGCTTAAAAATGTGATGAAGTTGATGAATGTGATTAAATTTTAATCGTTTTCTTCTAGCACAATGCACGAAATAAACATGATTCCAGTTATCCATCCAAGAGTTTGTATTCAACTTCATACTCGATAGTAGATGAAGTAAATGCGCTAACTCAACTTTCATGAAATGCAACATGAAACATGAATGATAACAGTAATGACATCTAGGGAAATACGAGTCCATCATTGATACAACAAATAACTGACATTCAATAGCAGAATAGTTTGGTATCAATACTGGGTTGTGATATAAGCTTGATTATTTGTAACACTTTTTGCCCTGATTTTGCAAAGAAATCAATTTGATCGATCCATTTTAACCGCATGAATAACATTTCTTTTTGAAGCTGGAAGCTTGAATTTTTCTAATTAACCGTCTATTATCATTGTAAAAGAAAGTATATAAGATTTGAAAAGGTTGGGAACAGAAAAGATTTGAAGGGAAATGAAATAAGTGTGGAATTTTAATTTAGTTAAAATGGTTCAAATAGCCTTTATTAGCATCAGAAGAGTATTAATTTTTTCACATCGTATCTTTTATGTTCTTATACATATACAACATTCATGAAACTTGTGGAATCAACCCAATATTTCAACAAGATAACGCTTCGATTCACGTTTCGAGAGAGTCTAAAGCTTGGTTTCGATCGAAATGTATCAATTTACTTGATTGGCCAGCTAAAAGCCCTGATTTGAACCCTATTGAGAATATCTGGGGTCTTTTAGCACGAAAAGTTTACCAACATGGGCAACAATTTAATACAAAAAATGAATTAATGCAGGCTATTGAGAAATCATGGAATGAGTTGGACCAAGTCCAAATTCAAAATTGTATAATGTCAATGAAGGATAGACTGATTGAAGTTATCCAAAAAAATGGAAAAATAACTAAATATTAGATGATTATTAGTCATTTTGATAAGTGGCCACAATATTCTGCATCAGTTTTTGCTTATGTATATTCAATTTTTTTCAATTCTTTCTTAATTATTTTTTAAACTTGCAATTTTTTCTTAATTTATTATAACAATCTAATAAAAATGAGTTTTTGGTTAACTTAATATGAATAAAAAAGTAAATTTCATGGAAAAACCATGAAAAAACAAGTGGCCACAATATTTTGAAACACACCGTAGTATCTATCAATAAACAGTCACTTTTCCCGTTATGAAAAGCATTTTGTTGTTCCGTTTACCCTGGTCCTGCTCCATAACAGTCGTGGTGAATCCCTTTTTCATCGATATGAGCTGAAACAAAATTAAACGAGGCAATAAGAGCAATGAAGAAAATAATAGCAACAAGTTCTATCGATTTCATTTTAACTTCTCTCGATTGATAACAAATGAATGAAAATTACTCGCAAGTCGCAAGTAAAAGTGAATTTTAAACTAATACTATCCTAATAAAAATATCCGTCTTTTATACTGTTTTACCAAGTCTGGCTGAGCAGTTTTGTTGACTCATTTGCTTCAACAAATCGTAGGCTCGAAAACTTATTCTTGCAATGACATTGGAATGGTTAATCGAATATGCATTCACACAAATGTGACATTTTAACACAATATGTCAATTGCATACTAATGACAAAGATGAATGTAATTTGAGGAAAACGCAAATAATTTATGCATCGATAATGATGGCATTTATTTTAAAGCAAATGAAATATTAATAAACATATGAGTAACATTTAATCAAGTCGAAAAGTTGAAGGTTGAAAAAGTGCCAATGTAAACTTGATTCAGTTGTTGATAAATAAATAATCGAAATAATTGATAATTAATCATCATTTTTAGGCGGAACCGTTTTTCGAATGACTTCAATAACTCAGTGAGTATCCACAAACTTACTGGTTAACAAATTTGCCCTGATTTCAGAAAGGCCCATTAATTTGACCACATTATTTTCACTAGATTAATATAATTTCATTCTGAATAAATGATCTAACAAAATATTACACAGCATCAAAGCCCTGATTCAACTACTGAATGAACAACTACTAATACAATATCCACCAAAAATGAGAAAACCTCAGAATTTACGTCTGGTAAGTTCATGAAAATAGAGGTTGAGGGAAAAAATGCCCGATCTGTATGCAATAAAATTGAGTAACAATGTTTTTGTTGGTAAAGTTTGGTGGTTCATTGTTGAACCAGGATTCTATGTAAAACTTTGTCTTTCGAGCAAATAGTAAAGTTTAGAGAGTTTGATGAAATATCTGTTGCTTCAAATGTACAAAGTGAGATCTCAATTCACATTTTGAACTCGACCGGTAAATCTTTTAATTGTGGCTCTATTTTGTGTGCTCGCATAAATAAGAGTCAACTATCAACACGAAAATTTAATGCATGTCCAAAGAAAGCTTTTCATCTCATAATGAATTTACTGCAGCGAAAGCTAAAGATTACAACGTTTAGGTTGTTTAACAACAAGAATTCAGGTCTTTTCGGTATGGGTTGATTATATCTCGCTCAAGTCAAAGAAATTTGCGATCAATCATTTTAGAGCCAAAATAGTGGCAAAAGTACTAACGAGAGAGAAATCTTACGACCAAATGATGAGCATGAGAGCTCAAATTTAAACTTAAAGCTTTCTAGTAACTCAATTCCCAGAGAAGGGCATTTTCTAATAGGATCAATCAAATACATCAATCATGATCGCGAGTTCGTAATGATAAAAACAAGAATTCGAATGGGAATGAAATAAGTGTAAAATTTTCATCATTATTATAATTAAAATTGTTCACATAACCTTTATTCAGATCAAAGGAAAGCCATTGCTTGCAAGAACATATTTATAAGCTTTTACATTATTCATTACATTATTATAATAATAAACAGTCACTTTTATGGTTATGTAGAGCATTCTGGTCCTTACCCTCCAGCGCATTTCTTGTAGTAAGGATTACCGTATTCATCGTAAACTACATGAGCTGAAACAAAATTAAACGAGGCAATAAGAGCAATGAAGATGACAGTAACAAGTTTCATTGCTTGCATATTGACTTTCCACGATTGATCACAATCAACGAAAAATTACCCACAAGTCGTAAGTAAAAGTTAATTTCAACTATAAAAATATTATCCCAATAAAATATCCGTCTTTTATACTGTCATCAAGTCTGGCTAGGCAGTTTTGTTTACTCATTTGCTTCAACAAATTGTAAGCACGAAAAATTTATTCTTTCGCTGAATTGAAATTCAAATGGTCAATCGAATATGCATTCCCACAAATGTGACATTTTAACACAATCAATTGATGACATATGACAAAGATGAGTAAAATTTAAGGTAAAATGTAAATAATGACATTTACTTTAAAGCAAATGAAATAAACATATGAGTAACATTTACTCATTTAATCATGATAAATGCAGAAAATTGAAGGTTGAAAAAAGTTAAAGTTTAAACTTGATTCAGTTGATGATAAATAAATAATCTAAATAATTAAGAAAATTTCATTTTGTATTAACGCTTTACTAAAAACGTAAAAGTTGCAACTTCGGACAGTTACTGTACACCATTGCCAGATTTGTCAATTTACACATTTTTCTGATATTACATCTTATGAGCAATCAAAAATTACATTTATTTCGGGAACTTAAACATTCTGTTTGCACGCAAGAGGTGGTTCGGCTTACGGAAAAGTTGGTCGCTTTAAGCTTAATAGAGTGAGTCAAAAGGAGGCTCAAGATTGATAAATGGGAAGAAAAGTATTAGTAAGTGTTTCAATTTTATTCAGATTAGTTTTTGTCGGAAAACAAGTTTACTGAGAGAAATTGATGAAATGGCCATTCATCAAGTTGATATTATCAACCACGAGCTCTCAGGTAAACTTTTGGCTCACTGTTGATAAGTCTGTATGCATCACTGGGGAATCGCGAATAGACATCATCACAAATGAGAAAGGAATATTGTAATACGTTGAATTGTCTGTAAACACCTCGTCTTGTCCTCAGTCCTCGTATTGGGTAAACTTGAGACCAAATTGTTTCATTGAATTCATCGTTATTAATGATATCTTTGATTCTATTGAAGATACTTTTAGTATTTCTATGTTGACAAAAACCATGTCTGCACACTCCCTCTGGAACCATCCTTTCAGGTACTAGGCGATACCGTAGACGAATATTGATAAAGCGCCTAGAAATCACCGAATCAAAATGAACATCATAAGCCAGATGAAAACTGTTTTCGGCATAACGAATGGCACTGAAGAATTCTTCCTTGTGGACAGCAGCGCTCCAATAGCTATGAGAATTGAAAAGCAATATACATTAATCTGTTGATACATAATCTTTAAATTGTTTCAATAAATGATGGAAATGATAGATTACTTTATCTGGTTCCTAATAGCATAGTGATATGGATCATCGCGGGGCTGCACATGCTGTAACGGTTCTCGGAGGATCGGCAAAAGAAGCTCATAAACATATTTGCATGGTACACCAGTTATTGACTGAAGCTATGCAAGAATATAATAAGAATAAAGTTATTGCTTAATGAATGACGGGTAAACTTATCTTACCTGTCCGAGCAGTTGTTGTTTTTGCTGATGCCAGCCATATTTATCACTCCAGTCAATATCTATGTCATGATAGTCACCTAAAAACTTGACTTTGAATGTAGCTAAACGAGATGAAAAGGTTTATGGGTTATTTCATTTTATGAACTATTATTCACCATATTCAACAATAATATACAAGTGATAGTACTTACTTTTATAAGAGTTAACTTGGTCTGCCATTTCAAAAAGTAAGATTATCAATATATGTCTGAATTTTAAAAGAAAAGAGAAGAGAAGAGAAGGAAAAATTGTAAAAGAGTGTCCACTGAGAGCAAAACTGACCAAATATGATGAACTTTTGGTTCCTTACACAGAACGACAAGGCTGAAGAAGTAACCGCCAGCTAAATCTGGTCTTCTTACTTTTGGCTTGAGGCCTGCTCAGTCTTTGTCACTATGGAAACATTTTAGCAAAATTAGCACAATCAAGTCATCGTAAAGACAAGACCAAAGCAAATTAAGATTACATTTAATTTACATTGAAATAGTCACGATAATCAATAGACTAACCTATTATTTTTTATGATGTTATTTTCATCAAACTAGCATAAAAAAATACTTAAATTTTTTTGCTATGATGCCATTAGAATGGAAAAATGGGAATTCTCAACGGCGTTGGAATTAAGTATCTAGTTTTTGGCATGGCTCTGAAATCAGACTCTAAAGGTTGCCATGTTAAGAAACGGTCAGTACTTTTGTTGACATTTACAAAATTGAAAAGCGCGGCTTTCATTCTTGGATGTTTGTTTACATTTTTTCTCTCACTGCTCACTGAGTTTTACTGTATTTTGTATCACTAATGAACATAAACTCCCCTTAATTTTTGGTCTAGATTTATTATTTATATTTATATTAATTTAACTAATTTAGTGACCTGCTAAGTTATAATTTATTTAGTAATTAATTTTTGTAATGGCTGACTTTCTTGATGAAAGTAATCCTTGTGGGATCAATCTTCTCCGTCTTGTTTCCCGTGGTAATGCCATTATTGCTGAACTTCTTCGTCTTTCTGACATGATACCGACCGTTTTTAAACCTGAAATTAAGACGGAGTTCAATCGTTATTCTGATTTAATATTCGACTTCACTTATTTTAAAAATTTGGAATCAATCGAGGCAAAAATTGACTCAACTCCAGCTCTCCGGGACAAAGACGATGAAATCCGTGACAACTATATTGATATTTTAAGTGATTTTTACCTTGCCTTTGAATCTATACATAGGTACATTTTTGACCTCAACAAATATATGACCGACCTGGAAGAAGGTGTTTATATTCAACAAACAATGGAAACGGTTATCGTTAATATGGATGGTAAACAATTAATGTGCGAAGCACTTTATCTTTGTGGTGTCATTCTTCTAACTGTGGACCAAAAAATTGAAGGATCGGTGCGAGAAAGAATGTTAGTTTCTTATTATCGTTACTCCGCACAACGATCTACATCAGATTCAAATATTGATGACGTCTGTAATCTTCTGCGTTCAACTGGCTACTCATCAGTAACAAATAAAAGACCTATCAACTATCCGGAGGATTTTTTCAAAAGAGTACCCATTAATGCTGAATATCTTAGCTTAGTGATTGGTCGATTAAGGTTTGATGATGTTTATAATCAACTATCATCCTACCCATACTCTGAACATCGAAGCTTCGCCATGTGTAATCAAGCTGCAATGTTATATGTTATACTCTACTTTGCGCCAGACTTTTTACACGAACAACATGCTAATATGAGGGAAATTGTGGACAAATTTTTCTCTGATAACTTTGTCATCAACATATACATGGGAATCATTGTTAACCTTATAGAAGCTTGGGAACCTTACCGTGCAGCTAAATCAGCCTTAAACAATACTTTGGAAACAGCTAGTCTACGTAAACATGCGATCTATCACAAGAATCGTCTAAATAAATTATTACAGCAAACTACAGATTTACTGAAAGAAGGATATCTTGATGAAGAGGTGATCTTAGATTCCACATCAAAGTTAACTAATATTTTGAGAGAATGTAATGTTACTCTTCGATGGTTAATGCTGCATACATTTTCAAACCCTAATGTGGAGACTCATTGGACAACCTTTAAAAAGTGTAAACAATCTCGAGATGTGATAATAAGCGAAACTGGTCATGATCCAGTGAAAATTTTTGAATTGCTGATGCATACCTCACAATTAGAATTGAAAGTGAAAGAAATTTATAAACAATTGCTCAATGAAAAGCGTGAAAAATGGGACAAATATCAAAGTGAAGCTGTCGATAGGATATCGGAATTATCGGAAGTATTTTCTGGTAGCAAGCCATTGACCCGTATTGAACCCAACTCTAGTCTTCAAGAATGGTTTGGACAACTTGCAAGTCAAATAAAAGCTCTTGATCCAGACCAGCTGAAAAGTTCAAATCGCAAAACTATCCAAATGATCAAAGCTCTTGATGAAATTCAAGATTTCCATCAATTAGAAGGCAGTATACAAGTCAAGCAACACTTGATTGATGCTAGAAAATTTCTGTGTTGCATGTTGAAAACTTCAGATGTAAAAGAGCACGTACTCATCACTCTACAGCTCATTGGCGATCTCTCTTATGCTTGGTTAATAATCGACTCTTTCACCAAGTATATGCAACAGGGTATTCAAAAAGATCCAACTCTAGTCATTAAACTTCGAGCAACTTTTCTCAAGCTTGCCTCTGCTCTGGATATGCCCTTATTACGGATAAATCAAGCATCAAGTCCTGATTTGGTCCCCGTCTCACAATATTATTCAACTGAATTGGTTTCATATGTTAGAAAAGTTCTTCACATCATTCCCGACTCTTTATTTCGCCTTATGGCGCGGATAATTGAATTGCAAACAAATCAAATTCAAGAGCTTCCCACCCGATTAATGAAAGATCAACTTCGATCGTATGCTTTTCTCGAAGAAAGATATGAAGTTGCTCAGTTAACTCATTCCATTTCTGTTTTTACCGAAGGAATGCTCATGATGAAGACAACATTAGTTGGTATCATTCAAATCGATCCCAAAAAGTTACTTGAAGATGGTATCCGTAAAGAGCTAGTAATCCAAGTTGCCAAAGCATTACACCAAGGATTAGTTTTCAATCAAAGAGTAAAACCAAGTGAACTTGTTCCCAAGTTAAGAATTATCTGTAACATCATGGATGGTTAC